ATGCGAGTAATTTGACAATTTAATCTCCCCATTTCATTAATAATACTTATTTATTAAAGGAAATAAACAAATTCAGTGGTACGTGGGTACAAAATGGTTTATTTACAATAACAAAATGGCAGCAGGACGCGGAGACACAAGATGGCAACACATGAGGACAAGATGGGAGGATGGATTGTAGCATTGATCAAGAACCATTCAATTCCTCCCTGCTTTCCCATACTAAAGTTGCTGTGACCACTGCCTGCTGCAAGTAAAACTGACTGATCGTGAGAACCTCACCACCCCAGAGAAGAAAATACAATAAAAGGAGCGCTCCCTCCTGAGATTCGTAGTAACCATCTCAAGCTGGCCCAGTCGACAAGAATCGGGGAGAGAAAGGTTTGCTCTGATTTACCTCCAGGATCGATTTCATCTTCGTCTGTCAGCAATCAATGCGGCCCGTGTCCATTTTTTTTTCTCCCGCTCGGGGTGAGTCATGTCCATAAATGCCATGGCAGCACACAGTGTTCACAGTGTTATTGGTCTCGTTTGACTCTCATTTATAATAAAATCTGGTCATTACAGGTCTATCTGGTTCTTTAAACAAACTTCTGTGAGTTTTATTGCTTCCAAATGTTCTGCCATGAAGTCCTCTAATATATGACTCAAATGTTTTGCTGCAGATGCACAGAATACAAGTAAACCCCGTTCAAGGAGGAAAAGAAGTTAAATAAAAACAAACAAGAAAATAAAAACTTGTTTGTTTCCTTAAAAACATGTTTCCTTTATTGCCCCTTTTCCACTTGTACCATCCCAGCACGACTCAACTCAGTTTGACTCGACTCTACATGGTTCCGTTCAATTTCCCCTCACAGCTGAGCACCACCTCTACGTGTTTGGGTCGTCCTACCAGGGCAGCTTCAGAGTCTGAAAAGCAAAGTCATACGATTTGGACGTTGTGTCGTTTTCAGTGTTGCCATTTTCAATAAAACGCCAAATGAGCTCTGTCGTCTTTGGGAATTTTTACAAATACCAGGGCTGATTCTTGTCAGGAAGTCGTTTCTGTGACACAATCGTTGACTCTTCTCCCCCCAGTCAGTCAGTGGCCGGCAGTCTTCTGACATCATATTTTCACCCTGATTTGTACACTTGGAACCCCAGTCGAGTGAAAAAGGGGCTGGTACCATGTCGACGTCGCTAAAGGAGGAAGCCCATAACCAAGTCCAGCCATACCGAGTTGGTACCAGTGGAAACAGGGGACAGTTTGTGGTTTCCCCACAGGCGTGTGAATGTAGATACTTTTGGGGGTGTGGATTTTATCGTTATTAAATAATGATTTACAACAAAATACATCATTCTATGGATAACAAAAATATCTCTAAAGTTACTTCGGGTTCTTACAGAAAAGCCTGGGTAAATATGTTTAATAAATCCCATAAATTGGAAAAAAAAATATTCACTAAATTGCCTAGATGTTATCGTAAGTTATCATTTAGTGGACACATGGCAACAATGAGCAGTAACTGTTGGGTGCTTCCTGCAGCTTGAGTCACTCTTTTAAGATAAAGGACATTGATTAAAGTTATTGATAGCCAGCTGTTATTAGTTTTCCTTTCTGTCAACACAGTGATCATACAGTAGGAAACAACCAAGTGCATAGAAAATCAAACCACTAACCTCTCCCTATGCTGTGTCTTTACTGCAGTTTGCAGCTGCTGGGAGTGAATCTAACCCCCAGCGAAGGGATTCAAACACTACATACATAAGAAAGTTATACTTTGGGGTTTGCTGGGGTTGCTAGGTAACAGTGCACTGCCCGTGACAATCAGGAGGTTTTTGAAGCTACTTGTTTTCCAGACACACACAAATAAAAATAACTTGTTACCTCGAAATGACTGGGTTTGTTTTAAAGTTCTCGGGCTGCTTTTAGAAGCAGTTGAGTCCCAAATAGAAATACAAAAATGTACTAAGTCTCAATTTCACATAATATGCCCAGTTTAAGACTGTTTACCACCAAAAAAATAGCTAACCAGAAGAACTAAGATCAACTCCTGTTCATGTTGGAGTTAAAATTTTACTAATTTCTGCCCCATAAATGCCAATATGTGACACAGTAATAAATCACAGCCCAACTGCTGATGTTGAATTTTCTCTACCATGACTGTATTCTTCTGGCCACGTTTGTACATCACCAGCTGCTCTCACTCAGACAACCGAAATAAATTCTTAGCATGTTTCCATATTGGTATATTCCAATGAGGATTAAAATACAGCTCCATACCCACAGAGAGGATGTTCCACCACGCTTTCCAATTAATATACTAAGTGGTTCAAAGCTTCACAATGTCACTTTTCATTTAAATCTCCAGCCGTGTTTATGCCTTTCACTCCTCTGACAGTCCTCAGATCTGAGTAAACATCCTCCTCTGGCAGCTTGGACACACTTTCTTTTTTTTATTAACAGACTGTCCCACTCTTTATGTTTCCATGGCTCTTGTTAACCAGATGGTGACATGAGAGGATGACCACCGCGAAGCGCCCATCACTCATCGTGTATCCTATGTGACTGCTTGAACCCTCGAAAAGCTTGTATGCATATCCTGTTTAAGAAAAACCGACCACCTCAGTCCATACACACACACACCCACACACACACACTCATACACCGCAGGGATGTATAAATACACAGAGACAAGCATTGCTTGTGCAGAGCATACTCAGGGATGGCCACCTCACAACCACCATCACTTTGCACACCTTTCATACTAGTAGGCTTGGTTTTTCCTCTGTGCAGTGAAGTCCACTCCCTGGGGGCCAGCTGGCCTTCTGATGCATGTATGGGTGCCAGCAAGGGATACAAAGCTAGCTGTGTGTGTCAAAAGGAGCATCTATAAACCCCTGAAAAGAAGGTAGTGGAGATGCTGGAGGTTCATCTGCTGAACGTAATAATTGGTAAATGTCGATTTTTAGCACAAGTATTTACACAAGTGGCTTTTTAAGAATTCTTTAAGACCATTATTCATTAAATTTAAGATGTGTATAACAGAAATGTACAAAATAACATTGTATATTTTATATAGTAGTAGAACCACAGATTGGGGGTTGGCAACAGAAGTTAGCCCATGGCAAAGACAAATGTCACTTATCCATTAATAGACGCAAAAAAAAAAAAAAGCTAGCTAGGAAAAGGATATTAGCGGTAGCCTCAACCACATCAAGTCACACAATGGAATAAAATGACTCAAACGTTTGACTGACAGGGAAATCCAGTGAGAAAAATAAATTGCGTAGAATATACAAAAGTAAATAATTATAAATAAGAAATATTTCATATTATTTAGTGTTTAAAACATTAAAATAAATAAATGTCAATTAATTAGATAACATTTGAGGATTAAAACGATTTATGCACTTATTTACAAGGTGGAATATAAACAGGTATGCAGAGTGAGGTAGTGTTTTAATTTGGAAATAACAGATATTCAAGTCCAAGTAAACGAGAGCACAGGAAGAGCTGAGCTCTGCAGCACTCCCCCTGCCTCGGTGACTGAACAGTGTTGGAAAGCTCTTATGTTAAGCGTGCAGGGAAACAACGTTTTGCAGGACAGTGCTATAACAGATCAGCAGGAAAGGTATTTGGTTGCAGCAGTGGCCGTTATACGGTTACACAGCGCTGGACGGAGTGCAAGTAAAGTTCAGCTGTGCTTTTGAGATTAAACGTCGCAGATGAATGTTGGTAACGGAGCCACGACATTTTAAATCTAAAGATGGGGAGCATCTGCGGAGCGTGAAACTGCCTTTTTTGTTGATTACGTAGCATTCAGAGCGGAGGGTGAGGTTTTAGGAGAAATAGAGCATTTAAAAACACATTAGCGCTAGAATGCAGCGACGGCAACGATCGGGTTGAACATGTCTGGATGTAGAAATAAATGGCAGAAACTTTCAGTAAAATATTTAAATATTTTATATTTTTCCCCCCCACACACGTAGTTACATGATTACAGGAGTAGTAGCAATAGCAGAAGCAGAGTTTTTATTTTTAACTCCTGAATGGGTCATTGGAAGTGGGGTCCACCATCTGCTTGGACACCAGTGTGCAACAGTAAAGTGAAAGTGTGTGAATGGGAGGCATGAGTTGAACCCAATAAAGAGAGATCCTCAACACCATGTTCCTTTTGTGTGTGTGTTTTTTTTCTGGGATGCTCATTGCAGATCTCAGATTTACAATGGCCGCGCCTGGACCGGGTTATTCGGTCCATAAAGTCTCCACGTACAGCAGGCCCGAGTTCTTTTGAAGGAAGCCGTCACTAACGGTGGACACTCCTTCCCTCGTAAAATAAATCAAAATCAGCCACTTTGGTCATCTGCGCCTTTACACAGTGAAACAGCTTTCCAAGAATATGCCATGCCGGTACACACTGTACCTGAAGGGCTTATATAACACTCATTTTTGTGTGCTTTTGTCATAATATTGAGGTTGCAAAATCTACAGAGTATTTATATTCTTTATTTGTTCACTTGGTATATGACATGTTTGTCATACATAAACATGACATAACTGAACAGCAAAAGAATAGAGGAATGTAAGAAAGCCTTGTCTTTTTGACAGAAAATGAAAGGATTTAGATTGAGAAGAATGCCTTTCCTGTTTTTACAGTATCTTTAACTATGACTATAACTATGATTCTGCCTGAACATGAACAAGTTTTTTAGCGTTTAAACCTGGACCATAAAAATCCAACATAGCTGAACTACTAAGAGCTGAGGGGGGGAGGGGGCAATAACTTCGTCTCATAGACAGGTTGAATGTTTTCCGTAGTAAATTAAACTGTCTTTTGTATTTACTTCAATTATCTTCGTCTGATGATCTGAAACACTGACTCGCCACAAAAAGTAGAATATCAGAGCAGATAAAAAAAAAGCTTTTCACAACATTGTTTGTTCATGTTGCAGCAAAAGGTGCTAAACCACAGTCTTTCCAAAAAAATGCATTAACCCATCCATTCTCTGTTCTGCAGAAACCCTCTTGAGCTTCGTGGACGACATCCTGTCTGGGGCCAGGTCTCCATGTGTGATGCTGGGGGACATCCCAAACCTGCTGTCTTCCTCCATCAGTCTGATCATTCGCTGCCTGGAACCTGACGCAACATACATGTGAGTTGACACTCGGTGCTCAACACGTGAAGAAAGGTACACACTTGCTTTTCCAAGGTGTCATAAATTGCCACTGATGGAAGCTTAAGGTGCAGTCCACAAATCAAGTGCTGCAGTGTCTCTGAAATGCTCTCTGGTGAAGTTAATCAGGCCTTACTGTTGTCTTTATTGCCATTATTTGCTGTCAATATGAACCCATAAGGACTGCAAAAATCATTTCATTTGCTAATAAAAAAAAACGTTTGACTGCAAAATTGCTTTAGCAGACAGACGTTAGCTTTAGCCAGTCCAATGAATGAGCTTGTTTCTCTGTGTTTGCCACTAATTTTAGCTTTAAGTAAGAAAGGAAGTACAGATATTTAAATGCTTTCACTTTGCCTTATTTACCAGCTTGGTTTCTTTAACATGTGGAAAATGTAAAAGAGGGAGTTTTGAAAAGTGTTTGCTTTTTAAGAAGTATCATTTATTTTTTTTTTAAAAAAAAAAGATAAGTTCTCATCTTAATTAACAGCATAAAATTTAGATCAGTTTTTGAATTGGTCCACATGAGAAACAAAAAGAAGATTGCTTTTTGTCCGAGGCAGGCTAACATTGAAACAAATCCAGGTGACTCCATATATCCACTATCATTGTGAAGCCTCTTTAACTGCATTATGACAACATAACTCTGAAAAATGGAAATAAAAGCAGATCGTAGCCTGAAGTATTCTCTCAGTGCCAGTGGAGTCCTCAGTTAGTCCTCAAGGCGTGCTGTCTCGCATGTTTCAGATCATTCCCTGTTTCAGCACACTTGAAGTAAATGGACTTTGGAAAACTTGATGACATGCTGAGAAGGCAATTCAGCCATTTGACTCAGCTATGTTGGCACAGGAACACATGAAACACAGGAAAGCAGTCTAACATTTAAAACGTTTTCCTCTAAAAATCACTGGTCCCACAATTGTTAGCATCCTCCTTAAGCCAATAAGACATCGCTTGGTCTTCCATAACGTTTTACGAGATTTGAGAGAGGCAATTTATTGGCTGTTCTCGCTTCCACGATCTCTCCAGATCACCATGAGTCCTGGATCTGCTTTTATACTTTCATCTCTATAGTTTATCCTACAGGGTTTCTTTATGGAGTTTAGGTCTGAGATAATAACCCGGGAAGAGAGATTGACTTTATATCCGGTAAACCATTGTTTTGTCTTGACTCGATCACTTTGTTTTTATCGTTACCCCGTTAAGTCTTCCCAGGGTTTGGTTAGCTCAGTAGATATTAATGCAACATTTCAAATAATTATTGAGGCTAAAGCTGTCCAATAAGGTTCGTTTCAGAGGAGAAACACAACCACGTCATCACATTTTCTTCCTCATGCTCAAAAATAAGCATAAGGTGCACTTCCATATTTGTTCCATCTTTACGTTTGTAATGGTAGGACAGAAAAGGTTTTTACATGACATGCAGAAGGAGATGGAAATACCATTTAAAGGTTGTGGTGCAGACTTGGTGACCTAATGTTGCCCCTCCTGACTGCAGTGACCTTTGAACCTTTTCATTCCCTTCCATCCCATTGTGGTTTTTGTGTGGGTGACAAAATAAACTGCGTTGTTATATTTATAAAAATAAAAACATTTGATTAGATAGGAGGTGAAATTTGAGTGAGATAATGAATCTGCTTTAGAAGATGAATTTGTCTAATTTTTAACACACCTTTATCAACAGTTGCAGAGGAGGCTCTATTTCAATGTAGCACCACTGAATATCCCTAAAAAGTGCTAAGTTATGACACGTCATTTCTAGGAAACTTTAACGTCTCTCTTGAAACTTGCCAGAAAAAGCATGTTGTGTCACCACTCTGGCTGAAAGCAGCTTCTTTAATGCCCTCCGTAGATCAGCCTACACTTTGACCGTAGAGACGGTTACTCACTAAGCTTGCAGAAAAATGCCATTTGTATGTGAAGAAGTTATAAGATTCAAAAGTACTGACTCATTAGCTGCAGCAGTTTGACTGCTTTGTTATATTTCTCTTTGAAATTTGATGCTTTGAAACTGGACCTCTGTCTTTTTCAGAAGCTCCTGCTTTTTCTGACATCATCATCACAGCAATGCTTCTCCATTATGTTGTTTACAACCTTTCTTCGGAGCATTGCACTGGGAAGTAGTTGGTTTTTTTTTTTTTTTTCTTTTTGAAAGTAGGTGGCCTTTTGTGAGTGCAAGTGTTTAGGCACCCCTGAATGGCTGCCAGGGAAAATCAAAGGATTCCTCAAACATGCATTACAGGTGGTGAACCCAGACCATTTCTCTGTACTCATCATTTCTGGCTGACATCTTGCATGTTACCACTACTCTCCGACTCATCCAACATTACACATCATTGTAAGTTGTAACAAGGTTTGCTGTGTCAGTCAGCACAGGGTCCGGAGCACGGAGACACCAGCAGACAGGCCAGTGTACCAGGAGATGCAGAGGCCGCAGTAGGAGGGGAACAACCCAGCAGGACCACCGCTTCTTTCTTTGTCCAAGGAGGAACAGGGGGAGCACTGCCAGAGCCCTGCAATATGACCTCCAGCAGGCCACTAATGTGCGCGTTTCTGCTCAGATAGTCAGAAACAGACTCCGCCAGGGTGGCGCGACGGCCCTGCATCAATGAGCGGGGCCTGTGCTTACAAGCCAACACTGTGCAGAACGACTCGCATTTGTCAGAGAACCCCAAGACTGGCCAACTCACCACTGGTGGCTCTTTCTCTTCACGGACGAGAGCAGGTTCACACTGAGCTCATGTGACAGACGTGACAGTCTGGAGACGCCGTGGAGAACGTTATGCTGCCTGCAGCATCCTTCAGCATGACTGGTTTGGCAGTGGGTCAGTTACTGTGTGGGGGGAGGCTTTTCTTTGGAGGGCCCTCCACGTGCTAGCCAGAGATGCCCTGACTGACATTAGGTACCAGGATGAGATCCTCAGACCTCTTTGTGAGACCCATAATGTAGCGGAGTGAGCCGTGGATTCCTTCTGCTGCAGGACAATGCTGGGTTTCATTTGGCTGAATTGTGTCAGCAGTTTCCTGCATGATAAAGGCATTGGTGCTGTAGAGTGGCCTGCTCATCCCCCAGACATGAACCCAGCAGAGTGCATCTGGGACATGATGTTTTCTTCCATCCAACAACTCCACTCTGTCCGCTGCCTCATCAGGGCCGCGTCCAGTTGTTGTAGGGAAGTCATAAAGGCCACACACGCTACCGAGACCCATTCTGACCTGAGGAATTTCCATTGACACTGAATCAGCTGGTGATGTGATTTTTCCACTTTTACTTTTGAATATGATTCTAAATCTAGACCATTATTGAGATAATAATTCAGATTTATATTGATCATTTTTATGTTGTTTTGTACTCAGCGCAATCCACTATGTAATAAACAAAGACTTACATCTGAAATGTTACATTCATTGCGATGTAGGATATGTTAGCGTAAACTTTATTTTTGGTATTTAACAAGATAATAAAAGTACAAGAAAGGGGAGCTTGAGAAAAAAATTCTGAAAACTACTATTTTTCTTTTTTTTTCTATAATGGCTCTTTATTCTTCCTACATATGTTTGTCAGCACAGTAAAAAAAAAAAAAAGCTTTAACATGCGATGCCGTGATCAAGACCGGATTCTTGGATTCTCGCTCAAGCATGTTCACACTTATCTCACACAATCCTTGCCAGAAAGGAAGCCACACACACTGCAGCGAAGGGGAGCAAGACACACTGGGGAATAGAAAAAGGGGGTAAAAGGTTTAGCCAAAAAACCTTAAATCAAACTTTGGGGTTACAAAAGAAAACAGGGGGGGGAGCGTAAAGGTGAAACACGGAGAGAAACGTTTTGAACGTGAAAAGTAATTCGAAGAAAAGGGGCCAGAGGCCAACAGGCAGAGCACACGGTTTGGATGTATATGGGCTGAATTAGCCGCCTAACATGCCCTTTTATTTTCAACATCCGCAAGTATCCTGCTCTTTTTATCCTGGCTGACAGCTCATTCATCTCTCCAGGACTAGTACTCTTATCCCCCTCAGGCTGCTGCAGACTCTATATTTCTTATACAAACGGAACCTGGAACGAAAAGCTGGAAACCATATGGTGCCTCTGGTTCGACAAAATGATGACGTGAAGAGAAATACGCCGATGCTTTTATGAAAGCTGAAAGCTTCAAGAGAATTTCCTCTGTCTTTGTTGGACGGATGTTTAATCAGTCAAATTAAAAGAAGAAATATGTTGGGGTTTTGTTTGTTTTCAGTCTTTTATTGTGCAAGTTATGTTTTAACCACAAGGTGGCGATATTCAATCAGGAAACGCTACAGTGAGGGCGCTGCGTCGGAACCATACAGGCTGCTATCCTCGAAAATGTGGCTCTTATTAGACTACCAGCTGGCAGTGTCTGTCAGTTTGTTGCTCTCGAAACTATGTTGTTGTTGTTAACAGAATAAAATGAAAAGAACAAGAGAACTCTACACTGTAAATCCCGTCACACAGAGTTTGTTCTGTAGAAAACGTCCAAACCCACGAAGCAAAGCAGCTGACTGCAAGCTGCAAGCACGAGTACTTCCGTATCTCCGTGAACCCATTTGTTTGTTTGTATGGTCTTCAGGTTCCGTCTGTGGGCTGTAGACAACACAGGACGGCGGTCCAGTCCGAGTGAGGTCACCATCAAGACTCCGTGTCCGACTGTGGATGATGTCAAAGCGCAGGGTGAGAAATGAGGCCGAATGGGTTCACAACCAGCTCGCTGAGGCCAATTTGTTTTTCATGTGAATAATCGTGCAATTAAGCTTTTTTTTTTTTTTTTTTTCTTACAGTGTGTCAAACTTAGGGTTAGGGTCTGTGTATTCAGAATATCCAGTGCCTTGTAAAAGTATTCGCACCTCTGAGGTTTTTTCACATTTTGACTCGAAACGACAACATTTTATTTAATTTTACATGATGAAGCAAAAAGTAGCCTGTGGTTGTAAAGTGGAAGGAAAGGACTTTATGGTTTTCACACCTTTTACAGTATAAATCTCAGGCAGTGTTATATATGTATTTGTCTTCAATCCCACCTGAGTCAATACTTCATAGAACAATTGTTTACTGAAGGTAATGCTGTAAAATATTAAGGTCTACTGCAGGTAAAGATGCAAAAGATATTTGGGGCATGAATTTACCAGGATTGCACACCTAGGAAAAAGTTTTTTTGTATTTTTTTTTTTAACTTAAAAAATAAATCTAGCTCAGACAATTTGGATTCATCAGTTTTCAAGACTTGCAAATGTTCTCAATTCCACAGAGGTCTGGCCTTTAACTGAGTCATTGTAACATCAGAATACGGTTCAAAGAGGCTCCAATGGACATCTTAAAGATTTTTTTTTTTTTGATGAGTCAAAAGTCTATATATGTAACAAAACTAATCAATTTCGCCACAGAATTCTTCGGTAAACAAAAATATCAAGATCTCAGCCATGGAAATGTTTTTTTTACATTTCATGCGGCTCTGAGTGAGCACTCTGTTGCTTTTTGTTGTGTCATAGACGTATCAAGAATCCCGCTCGCAGCTTGGTAAGACGATCTTGGTGCAATTATTTTTGTTGTTCAAAATGCTGACGCTTGCTTTCACAATGCAGTTTCAAATGTGGTCCCCTGGCAAATTAAACACTTTGTTCTTCTGCAGGGCGAAGGGCGAATGAAGACAAATGATGTCCATTTGTCTTTGAGTTAGCGATTTTCTCCACCCGCTTTTCCTTTTTGTTGCACAGTTTGAACAGGTCGTTTTCTTTTCACCAAGGCTTTGAATGTAGAGGAAGTAGCAATTAGCAAGCTCTTCCAAAAGTGAAAGTAGAAAGTTTCCTGTAGTAGTGATTTTTTTTTTTTTTTTAAACGGACATCTGGTGATATTCTTGTGATTGTGAGAAAATTGTGCATAAAATAATGCACATCCTCAGCATGGATTGTGAAAGAATCAGTGCTTGTGGGGGGCCACCGACTGAGAGCTCAATGTTCATTTTCCTTCTGGAAAACGAACCTCTTCAGCACAGCCGACACTAAGGCCGACTTTCTTACCTTCTTCCAGTGGTTGCTGTTCTCCTGCATCACTTGTTGCAAACTTTAAAGGGATCCGCTTAATTCTGCCTTACAGCTATGAGTTTCTTTTTGCCGCTCTTCTAAAAAGTCCAGATTTGTGGAGCAAACGCCTAATTGATCCTCCCACCTGAGGATCAATTAGGCTGCTTTCAGTGTTACAGTGTTACTATGGAGATCTTGGCTGCTTCTCTAAAGAAGGTGGTATTTGACTCAGCTGGTTAGTTTAAGTGGGAAGCCTTGTTTTGGTAGATCTTGCAGTTGTGCTATGCTCTTTATGTGTTTGGACAGATGATTGAACGACGCTCTGTGATGTTGCATTTCAGCATAAAGCCTCCTCAAACCGCCTCCCTCCCCGGTGTGTCTTTTCCGATACTGGTTGTTCTCTTATATTCAAATCTCATGGCAGCTTTGTTTATAGATTAAATTGCACACATATAAAACCCTGATCTCACAAATATGTTCTACATTCAGTTGATGTATCACATAAATGTCCAGTAAGACATATTTATGTTTAAAGCTGCAATGGGACTCAATTTTGTCCAACTTTAAGGCGCATTAGCACTTCTGCAGGGCACTTTAACCTTTATTGTAAAAAGCATGAAAATAGAGCGACCAAATGGAATCACTAAATAGTTCTCAAAAGTTCTGTTATTAGATGAAATAATTCCTGCCTGTTTGGAGCTATTTCTCAGTAGATGTCATGTGAGTTCATAGAGTGAGTCATAAAGTCACAGGCAGATAGTTTTCCCCTCTCTGGATCAGGACT